TTGAATAATTTTATTTGAATTACTAAAAACCCTTTTAACCCGGTTATGAAGCTTAAAGTAGTCTCATGTTTTGAAATGCTGTTTTTATATTGTTTACTTATAAGAGAAATGGACCGAGAAATTGAAGCGGCATAGACAAAGACGGATTGTCGGGGATTAAATTTTAGCTACCTGCTACAATTTAGTACAGTCCGACCGCACAAAGTTTTTTTAAAAGTACACCTATCCTATACCGATAATACAAAATATAAAAATATTGAATATAAGCACCAGTACTACATTTATTTACGATTTGCATACATAATAACCTTTTATTACTCTCTTTCATTTCTAAACAGACTATAACTATTCAAACATTGAAATGAAGAGTAAAAATATTTAATATTTTTAACCACAATTTATTTATAATGAATGTTCAAAATGTTTACCTTGTTCTGAATACCTTACATAGATTTACTCGTCTTGTTAAACTGTCAAATACATTATGTAACTCATTTTCTGTAATATTAGCTAATTTATTTGTTACAGCGTCCTTTAGTTCACCCACTGTGTGTAAACGGTTTACATATATGGAATTTTTTAATGTTCCAAAAAGATAATACTCTAGGGAGTTAAGTCCAGAGATCTTTGAGGCCATAAGCCTCGACGTGCTCTATGGCCTCGACTAATAATGCGATCGTCACAAAATTCTCTTAGGAACTCCAGTGCTGTGTTAGCTTTAATCTAAACATGCGTTGAGTTGCCAGAATATTGAGTATTAATACAAGAACAATGCATGGGTCGATCCTGGGTTCGTGAAATAAAAACCAATATTTTTACATCTAAACGAAGAAAACGCGAGCGGAATACCTATGTTTTTAAATGAGGGCGGATATTTTGTCTGACAATAGCATGCTGCTAAATTTTTTGCCACGTACGCGTATTGAAAACATGTTCATTAAACATTACATCATTGTGTTAGTGAGAAATTGTACTATAATAATTTTTGGCTTCCTTTTCTAATATATTTAGTAAATGAGTACGTACTTTTTTAAAAGAATTACTATTTTACCGAATTTTTAGGGAAGGAGGTAAAACTGTCCCATGTTTCCATGTTCCTTCTTTTTTCAACACATGTTTATGAGACATTCCTTTTCTTATCCAGTTCAGATTGTTTTTTTATTCACTCAAGCACCTATGCAAAAGTAGGGCGTGCCACACAGAAGCAATGAAAAACATACTTTTGCGGTTACATAAGCCGGTTCTAGTACGATGTTTGCCACAAGAGCACAGGTAAGCATGGTACGTCCCGAACATAAACTATCTAGACATAGAGAAATATAAGCAGTTGGCACTTACTTGTATTTTTGTTCGGAGTGTTCATCTTTCGAATCGATCTGACACGTGGACGAGGCGGCAGACGGCACGTGACGGGGCGACGATTCTTCCTCCGAGGGCTCTCCTAGTAGTTCCGAGAGAGTCTCGCCAGTATCCGAGTTGCAGCTCTCCTTGCTGCCCTTTTTCTGGAAACGCAGCGAGAAAGTTTTCCGGAACTTCTGCAGAACGCTCTCCGTTGCCGATCCTGCAATTGATAAATAAGGTTACAGCTGAAAAATTCACACCGAACTAGAGAAAATGTCTATTTCTACTGTGAGCAAATAGTTTTTCATTTGAAATATAGCGTGTCCTGTAGAGAATGGGTTTTACTTTAAAAGTAGCTTCCTTGAGTGAAAATAAATCGATTTAGTCAAGTTATCTTACCCCAATTTCGCCCCTCTAAAAAAAGAATTGCTCTCTTTACAATAACTCATTTTTAGCATTCTTGAATGAAATTTGGTACGGGAGGAAGTTTATCTTTTCTTTTAAATTCAACTTGCTAAGAACACTTTAAACAGTTGTTTGTTTTTTGATATAAGTACTCTTCATAAATAAATACTAAATGGGTTATTAATTAATAATATGCAAATATATTTAGAAAACACATTCCCCTAGTAAATTCGTAAGGAGAAATTATATAAAATTTAATCTAAAGAAATTAAGTTTTTTTTTGAAAAACTATATTATCTTAAAATTAGCATGTGTTTTTATAATAAATATTTTTAGTTTCAGTTCTGTTCAGTCCCGTTTCAGTAGGGGATAATCTAAGGAACTTTAAGAACTACCCAAAATCAATCACCCTATGCTAACTCAAAGAAAGCGCCCGAAAAATTCGATTTGTGCAAATAACTTTTTTCCAACATAAAGCCCCATCAATTAGAATTTGCATATTGCATGTGTGTTGTAAATAAAAATACCATTTTTTTGAAGAAATATTTATTATAATAAATGGGTTACGTAAAAAAATCAAACCGTAAATAATTATGTACATTCTATCGAAAGACTTAGAAAAAACATTAGACACGCATTTTTTTATACAAACAAATAAGAAAGGAGGTCCACTTCTAATAATCAAATTTTGCAACTGCCCTTTTTAACTTTTAGAACTAACTTTTTTTTAAGGACTGCTTTTTCGGTTAGAACTAACCCTTAGATTATACGCTGCGTTTCAGTTTAAAGTAAAAGTAAAATGGCAACTTAATTTTATTTTTAAAGTAGTTTATAATACTCTGCATTTAGTAATTTTGATTTTCTTTCATATAAAACTTTTATAATAAGTACCTATATATCGAATGAAATTATTTGTAATATTTTTAATGCAGTAAATTTTGTTGTAGAAAAATCAAAATTGTTATCAAATAAAACATATTTTTACTTGTTTTTGCCTTGTTTTTCTATTTTTCATTATTATTTATGTGTATCTATTATGTTTTTTTTTGTAATATGGAAAACCTCTATGTTAACGAAGCTGCCTAGGAAAATATTGCTGTGTGACAACTGTTTTAAACATATATTGACATTTTAAAATTTAATAGTTATTTATTGTATAAGTATTTTAAGTAGAATTTTATCCACGCAAGAATGTTTAATATTCTTAAGGGGATAAAAGGTAATTAGGTAAAACACGAATGCAATACACCGTTTTATCCATAATCATATCACAATCATATTTGCGGAGTCAGAATTATTGGAATTTAATAAAAAAATATTCACACGACTTGATATTTCTTACTAGTACTCAATGAAACGTGGTAGGTTTTGTTATACCTACTGGTTGCTATGGTACGTTTGTTTATTATCAATTATTTAATAAACGGTTCTATCTGAATTTGGTAAAAATGCAAGAAAGTAATTGTGTTCCTCTGGCTGTTTTTTTCCATGCGAGAAAAATGAGGTGGAGTTCCGTCGTGCATGAACCACATGTCTCTTCTTAAATAAAGTGGAACTTCTTCAAGTTGTGGAAGTATTTTTGCTTGGCCACCAAGAAGTCCTGAATCCTCTTGACTCTTCTATTTGGTCTTGAATGAAAGATATAGTTTACAAAGAAGCTATTGATTCGCGTGGAGAGTTGTGGTAAAGAATACAAATCGCTGCCAACGAAGATCTCTCAGAAAACGTTGTGTAAAGTGTATCAGGGTCAATGGTGGATTCTTCGAACAATTACTTTAAATCATTATTTCATTTGTTTTATTGTTAATTGTTGTAATAACATGAAGAAACACTTAGGTTATTTCGCTTTTTATGATCGAGATACCGAAATGAAACAAGAGTACATAATTAATGGAAAAATGATTGCTCTTTCAGGTTTTGAATCAAGTTTCATGTTAAACACACAGGATAAAAAGTTATTAACTAAATTTTCGGTAAAATTGGTCGTAAGTGGCGCCCTCTATGAGCAACGCTGAAATTGCAACAAGCATCTTACTCGTCGTTTGATAAATTTTCAAGTTCCTAACCTACATATTTTTAGAATAATCGCAAAAAAAACGATTTAAAATTTTAACTTTCAATACCCCTGTATTTCCGAAACTATCAACTTTCGGATAAGGCATGTTTGCGCCAATGGTCACCATTTCAGCTAGTATCTTCAGCTTTCGATTTCTCCATTGCTAATTAATCACCCTATATGCACAGTCTAATCGCCTGATTAATCAAGCTTTAACCGAGACTTAAAGTACCTACCCGACCTAAAAATGTTATAATAATAAATTTGTAGGGATAATTGATGTAATGATTAATAACATTATCTATAAATGAAAAAATATTATTTACCTAAATGATTGCCGTCTACTGTTTTTTTTTTACAATTAGGAGGAATAAATTATATTTCTTATTAATTTTGAACATCCTGTGTCATAAAAAGCAAGATTAAACAATGTTTCTTCTTATTTTGTTCTATCAGTGTTGTTGTTACACTATTTTTCTGAATTTTGAACTCTGAAGTAAATATAATACATCTTTCAGTTATATTTCAGTTTCATTTATTTCATTTCAGTTCATGTATACATATTTATTATAATTATATTATCATATACAGAACAGAGAGACAATTGATTCTTTAAGAACTTTAGTATGCTAAAGCAAGTAGAATGATTTATTTTAAAAAGTAATTTGGATCTCGTGTGGGTATACAAAGCCCAAATAACTTGATATCTTAAGCTCCAGTCAGGAGAATTCATTATCCTAATTTTGTCTTTATTCTCCATAAACAAGAGGGACTGTTTTTAGTTACGTTTTTCCACACAAACTGCTACATAATAGAATTAAATGTTCCGAACCGATTTCGTGCAAATAGAATTTCGCATTCGGTATTCTACTTTGAAAACCAATGAATCTGATGCTTGCAATGAAACGTTAAAATGCGTACATTTCTATACCAAAACTGGTCAAATTATATCATTAAATAAAATTTATGGAGTTATCTGAATTATCATTTTTCAATTTTTGGAAGCAATGTTTTTCTTATAGAGTAGGTACACAAAATTTTTTCACTCTACTGCGAACAATCAAGTACTTATGTATTAGTTCATCACGGTCTTTGAATTGTATCAAATAAATATAATTCAATTATTAAAGAATGACTTTAATGTAGATGGTTTATAATCTTGTCTTAAATTTGATATAAATATCTGGTACTTATTTAATTGAAAATTTCATTATAAAATTAATTTACAACATCTACTAAAGTAGTACTAACAATATTGTATGTATCTCATGTATAAAATATACAGAGTGTCCAGAGCGTACAGAAATTTACCAGGTTGTAGGTCAAAATAGGATTGAAACAAAATTTTCGCTTAACTCACGAAGGCGGGGGTAAGATACGAGAAGGATGTTAAATTTAAAAAAAATAGTTATTGTTTTTATTCTTAATTTAAAAATCCTTATCCTAATAATATTGATATTTGACAGAGATGTATATCACTTAAAAGTAAATAAAACCATGTGATCTAACATCCAGGTAGGCCAGCCAACGCACCTTAGAAGTTACCTATCTCTTCTTAAATTTTACGACTTCAACATATCAAATAAAATTTCTCGTTTTATAACCGCACAGTAGCAGTATCATTTTCGAGAAAAATAGATAAGGAAGAATTTCTAAACTTTCAATTTTTTTTTTGTAAATACATTTTTCTAAAAATAATTCATTATTCACAAGGAAAAAAAATACATCAGAATGAACTTGATAGAAAAATAGCAATAAAGAATTTTTTAACAACTACAACAAAATATATTTTAAAAGTAGCAATTACTATATCAATAAATGTTTGAAGTGTTGCAAAAAAACTGATATTTGAAAGATCTCTTGGGTTGTATCAGCTTTGAACAAAAATGTCAACAAAAGCGTTTCTTTTTTTATTTGACCCACAGAATTATGTTGTTCTAACGAATCAAAATGCGTCGCCTTGACCCAAAATATTGTTTCGCCCTACATTTCTATTATAAAACTGCACAAATAAAATAAGTAATTAATAAAAAAATACTTGGGTGTACCTTATCTTAGTGGGCCACTTTGCATGTTGGAAACTTCTAAATAAATAAATTAGTAATATATTGCTGACATTAAGTACTGAAGTAATATTCAGTACCAAAGGTATCAGTGGCATGTACCAACATCAGAGCATGTGATCAGCATTATTAATGCAGACAATAAGTAAGTTTTATAAGTTTGACACCCTCGATAAGCTAATGGTTGCATTAAAAAGGATTGCATAGTTGCAATTATAGAGCGCACCTTAAAATATATGGCACCTAATTATTGCGTTTCTTAACAAGTCAGAAGCTACATATGAATCAACTATTCCACTATCAGATTGCGCAATATTTCTTCCGATAAAAATTACATATTTACTTTATCTAGTTCGAGTTGTATATGATGATGAATATTGCTTGAGAATGTAAGATAGATTGACAGATAGAAAAAAATGTATGTCTTGACCTCACTGTGATATGAGAGATTTAACTTTTATTTTTGTACACATCTTGAAGATGAATTAGAGAAAATTATTAACAGGATGGAGGGGTTGGAAATTTCGCGTGATCCTCTTGCATGAAGACCATCCTTTGTTACAAACTCTATTCTAAAATGGCTCAATATACTGGATTATCGGCTTTATACAGGGTCTTCCATATCCGCATTTAAAAAAAACAGACACCCCGTGTGTAGGTACTATGGGAATGAGATTTTGGTATTGGCAAATAACA